AACAACCAATCAGAAGAATTTGCTTCTCCGCTGACAATAATGTACATAAAAATCCATAAATATCTGTTGATTTTCTCAATAAACGATCTGTTTCCTGGCCCTTGGCTTCTATCGTTACAAAACTACTGAGTGAACTTAATTTCGTTTAGTCAACTAGTTAACTACACCAAGTCACTTCCAATTTTAATAAGCTAAACAAGACAATCAACAACGATTTCTACTCTGTTACAAAGGGCAATTTATGTCTTTTCTGAATTTTTTTCACTAAATTATGTCTAGACGTTTAAGCAATTATCATTAAAAGTAATTGTCTAATTCTCATTCTCGAGTGACAATTCAGTGTAATTGACCTGTGACTGACTGAAAAAGTTTTTGAGCTTGAGGTACATACAAAAAAGTGCTGCACTTCAACTTGTATTACTCCATATAACCAACAAGAGTAGGAGATTAAAAAAATTTAATAGAACAATGGTGAGCAGAAATGTCAGGCTTTTTACAAATGAATTCAAACTTAAACTACTTTAACGAATAACAGTAGTATTAAAATGAAGTGAAAGAATAATATTCACAGTAGTCTGTTCAAACCTGGCCTAATTTACCTACCAGTACAAAGTCCAGAGAAAGAAGGAAGCATGGGCGTATAACTAATGAAACTCCTATGGAAAATCAATTCTATCGCTACAAGAACTTTGAAGCACAGAAACAACATAAAATGAGGCTCTGCTGTTGATACCTAATCTTCAACTATCAACCAAATGAAATAATCACAATAAGTGGCTGCCCAAATTAAGAATCTCCCCCCATCCTGTACGCACATGACTACAAACCTCGAAAGCGAGTAAAAGTCAACAATGCTCATATGCATCTTCTCATGAAGAAGTGTAAAATTCTTGTCAATCACAAGTAGGATATCAAATCTGCAGGAATTTCGTTTCACTGGACTGACAACAGAGGACTATTGGAAACCAAATTACATTTGACAGTCTCTCACCGCTAAGACTCCATCGAAAGTCCATTTCGATGTCTCGTAATCAGATCACACCTCCCATCTAGTCACCAGAACGGGATCGAATGGCACCAGACTCCATTCTTCTGTCGACCAACTGTTTGGAGTAAAAGTTATCCAGTGTCATCAGGTGAGTAGTAGCCATCCTCATATCAGAATTGTTTGATCAAGTCAGCTACATTGCACCTCACAGTGAGCAACTTATGACTGTTGGATTGCTATTTACTCATGACGAGTGGTGGAAGTTGAAGTGGTTTTCCAAAGTTTGATAAACTATCAGACTGCATTGATGACTGACAGATTTTCAGCTTAACGCTTCACACATAAGTGAAGTAGTTCAAGTTGTCACTCTCCGTAGAGCACACGAATGTGGAGAGAAAGATATTCGAAAGAACTATGATCGCATAGATAAATGGGATAAAGAATAGCAACATGGATAAATATGTGGACTTGATGGATCTGGGAGACCTCACCATGTGAATTCATCTTCCCTATGAAGAATTATTTCGAGACATGTCACTCACCGATATTGTCCAGTCTCTCCACTGATGGTTAATGTCTCGAGGGACCTATCAATGCAGTCAGTCTACGTTTTCCTATGTGGTGGGCTCAAACCAACATTCGGTGACTTCATGGATTGAAGGGGGGTTTTGATATGATTACTCTTAAATCTTTTCTTACTTAATTCTAGATCAGCTAATATTTTTTACGATGAGGAGGGCGCAACGTGTGCCATCCATCTCGATTGATGTAGCTTCATAATCTACTGACTCGACCTCCTTGCCTAACGTGTTACGCCCTGCCTCAATATTTATCACCATCCTACTTCCCTATACCTGGAGGATAGATTGCAGAAAGCTGTGGTGATGGGCAGTTAATCTCTTCCGGTTTCCAACCCTCAGCGCCGACACTTCATAGTCGAAGTGCTGCACAGTGCACTCATTTTTCGATCGACTGCTATGCTTTTCACCTATGGAAGAGACAACGCAAATTGTGAAATCCCACTTGTCTCTTTTGTATCTCTTTTGGGATTTGGTGATCAATCACTGTACTGTAGCTAGTTCAGTTCTCCAAATATGTGAATATCGAAGTGGGTATAGTCCATCTTTCAGCATCAAGCTACACTAAATAGAGGAAATCGCATTTTGAACATTCGAAAATCTTTTCCTTATTTGTTTAGAAGGCTACATTTTATTAGCGTCTTCACCTAGAAGTACCATATCGTTCAGGTACTCTAAAATGAAGAAACTGTTCTACGCTATCAGGTCAACCTCTGAGTCACTACAGTTTACCATTGTCACATGCATCAATACATCTTATATTAAATTAGACAAAAAGGGGAACATTTGGTACCCATAATGGACATCAATTAAGATGACATCTCGCCATAAGCTTTAGTACTGCTGGTAGAGTTTAATAAAAGGTCATGCATACTGACATACTTTCAGTCCGTTCAATGCCAGACATTGCTACAGCACCTGTCATTGGAGAGAGTAAAATGCCGCCTTTGGGTCAACAATTGTTGGCGATTGCTGAAGACCGGTAATTTAGAATTTAGTGGAGGGTGGTGAAATAATCAACGCACTTATGTCTAGGCCTAAAAAATGACTCGGTTTTGCATGCTGATTTCCTGCTGAGCTCAGATAAGTCGTCATATGACATAGAACTTTAGATGCGATGCTAGTTTAGCTGGTCCCTCTATGACTACCACAGGGCTGATGGGATTTCCCAATTGATGTTTTAGTTTTTTGTACAAATAGTTATTTCTTTCACAAAACACACAGCACAAATAAATTTGAACAAGGGTCTATGACGATTGATTTTACTATCTGCAATCCACAAGAGTGCATCTATATTACCTGATAGTCCAGTCAAAACTATTTGAACACTGCGATTCTCTTTAAGCCACTTCATTTTCAAAGCCCATTAATTGTTCGAAAATAAATGCTTCGACTCAAAAGGTCAAACTGTTTCAGTTTCCCTTAAATGTAAATAGATTTATATGTTGTGTACTCAAATCGCCTGCATGTAACGAATACCACTCTCTTGTAACAGAAAATTGAGCGTACTTCTAATCATATTTGTATTGAATGCAGCATGTAGAATGTAAGTACAGCGAGATAACCTAACTGGTTCAAATAACCAGAATTTCGTATAAAATCATTTTTCATCCGTGTTGTAAATACACCATGTTTACGAGTAAGGACTTACGCAATACCTGGATATCACTGTTAAGTCATCATAGTGAAAAATTAATAATAACTCTTTGATTAGCACTATCCGTCTGTCTGGATTCAACATAGAACTTGGCACCGAAGTGCAGCAGTTCAAGTTGCTACGTACCGGATAGCACACAAAGGTAGACAAGAAAATGAGTGAAGAGGATCAATAGAGTTTTGACAAGTATAAGATTGAAACAGAATGAGTAATGGTAGAAAGGAATATGAAAGATTACAGAGACTGAATACATCTGCGCCTTTGACTACGATTTTGAGCCATGTCACCTATTGTCTCCAGCCATTGATTCTTAGAGTCCCGAGGGCCCCAACCCGGAAGTCTGCATCTCCCTACCTGACTCAGTTTAACTGTCAGGGATTTCATGGATTGATGAGGCCATGTTTTTGTTTGCCCACCACTTACTGTTTTCCAACCTGCACCTGTATCAGCTAGTAATGCCCGTCGGGGGAGGCGATGGTTAGGCATGCGCAGCACGTGTCCTAGCCATCTCAATCTATGTAACTTTATAGCCTCTTCGATTGATTTTCCCTCTTTGCCCAACACTCCACGCCTAACGTCAACATTACTTACCTTATGATACCACCTAACGCGAGAAAGGGATCGTAAACATCTATGATCGAAAACAGTCAACCTTTTCATGTCTTCAACTCGTATTGGCCATGTTTCAGAGCCATAGAGAAGGACGGAGCGAACTGCTGAGCAGTATACACGTCCCTTGGTTGATAGCCGGATGTCACGCCTACGCCAGAGATGGCGTAAGTTAGTGAGAGCAGCTTGAACTTTTAGGATGCGTGCTGAGATTTCGTCACCAATCAGTCCGTTGGTGCTGATACAACTTCCCAAATAGGTGAAGTGGTCAACATGTTCTATCAATTAGCACTATACTTTTGAGAGATGCATACATGTAGTGACCAGTCAGTGATACGTGAGAAATATTGTTTTGGGAGACAAAAGTTACACGCTGATTGTCCTGTTAGATATCTGATATCTGTCAAAACAGTACCAACAAAGTTAGATATGAAATACTTTGTACCTTGTTAGCCTAGATTTCACAAATCCTACATATATATATATATATATATTCTATGAATTTCAAACAGACTGCCCCCAAATCTCTATTGATTTATTTTACTTGATTATTGTAATTTCTATCGTGTAGATATTACGCTTCTTTTTCTCTCTCTGAATATCGGGGTGTCGTTATTTCCCAAGGGAAATTATCTGGTTACGGTATGAAATTTACACGAAGTATTGCATTTCAAAGAAGAAAAAAATAGGAGCAAATAAATAGACAAATAGACAGAAGACGTGCTTTTTTTGGGGCAGCCATTCTATACTATAAAGTCGCCATGGTTTGACAAGTTTTCTTTAATTCGTGTTCATTTTAGGCTGTAGGCAGCCGGCTCTTACATATCTTCTTTTCTGTTGAAGAAATATAACAGAGTAACTCAGTTGAGTATGTTGTAAAAGAAGGTCTTTTTTTGAAAAAAAAATAAATCAACTTGCCTAACGTCTGCATTTTTACTGCTATTTCCATCTACAGTTCTATTTCCCCACATTTTTATCAACAACAAAAACACTTGCGAAATAGGGGATGTGTTTTTTTGTGTGTATAGTGGCTGTGTGTGTGTGTGTGTGTGTGCGTACGTGCGTGCGCGCATGCATCAGAGTTTAATTAAAATCATTCTGATTGGTCAAAATCACCTCGTACTTCATTTAAATTGTTTCAGTAACAATGAGTAGAATAACAATAATAATTATAATAATCATGTCATTCAGAATAAACGTCATCAGCTGTGAACAGCTGTAAATAGTATTTTCCCTCAAACAGCTTATATTTTTCTGTTATATTGAATATGTATCCATGCTTGTCAATGAATTGTCTTCATAATTAAAATCTATTTATAGTCGTCAATGTTGAATTAAAACAAAAACAACTATTGAAAATTTAAATACAAGATTACCTTCTTTATAGAATTTGATTTATAAATGCTACAAAAATAGAATATTAATTACATATCACTTCAATTTTTTAAAGATATACCCAAGTGATTTGAAGTTGGTTAAAATGAAGTGGGCAAATATAATAACTTTTAATACTTGGATATGTATTATCGTCATGTTAAACAGTGTTGATCTGAAACAATTGGACAATGGTAAGTTGACAATTGAGATCAATAAAATTACTTGAATGTTGTATAAATGTGGGTGAAGTTAAACTTTAGACACTTGAGTGGCGTGAATTCACGAGTTACCTCGGGAGGAGCCATAACAGTGATAGTTAAATTTGGTCTCTTAGCTTAACTTTAAAATGTCCCAAGACTAACGGTAATCCTAATCTATGAGTAGCTCAACTATAACCTATCTCAATTATCTCCATCATGAGGTTACTCTAACCCTAACCTGTCCCTAATCTAAGCCTAACCTTAAACTTTCCCTAATCTAACCTACAACTAATCAGCTATCCTGTTTAATATTATTTTTTATTTCTTTATTTTGATTACCACACAGTATTTTTGGTACAAGTATGGAATTTTCAGAATGTGATATCGGTAGCCTAAATGCTGTAGGCTGACCAGTTGATATCAGGTGTGCGTCGGTAGGGGATCAAACGCCGGACTATGTGCATGGTCGGCGAGAGTCCTAAACTCTGTGCCACCAATGCACACTTCATTCAACAAATTTTCTCCATGTATACAGTGTTATTCACTTGGTTTCAATGTCATGTTCTGAATGAGAGTTTGCGCTTGTTGGGTGTTCAGATTTTAGCTTTGAGTATATGAATAAAACTGTAAAATCACTCAAATTCGATTGAAAAAGGAAAACAGAAAGATTTCAAACTTGAATTAATACTTTATTGATCTAGTTGAAGATAACTTAAGGTGAAATGCGAATTCGAGTAGTGGCAGGACTTGAACTAACAATGGCCTCCCAATCACCTATTCGGTATTGTATTGGCCCAACTACATTTGGCTGCTGCAATTTTAGAAAACTGTGTTATTCTAATTTATATGAACTGTGATCAAGATTTGGTCGAACAGTTCCAAAATAATTGGGCGCCGAGTGAGAAGTAGACATTTTTAAGAATTATATTTGTAAAATTTTAGCGCAATTGAGACTGTTTACCCACACACACATACACACACACCATTGTATACTGCATGTACACATTTATTTTCATTTTCAGTTATCTTCGACCATTCCACTACTAGTCAGCATCCTCCAATTAACCTCTGATTACATGCCCACACATGGTCGAAGCATCTGCACAAGAAACCGACATGTCAACCTGAGACTGAGCACTTGGGTCCATTCAATCAACGGGAAAACCTAAAATTGAATTAAATAACTAATATGAACCGTTGCACAAGAGGTGACTCTCGTGGCCCAAGTGGTCTAATGGATAACGCTTTGGCGTTTGAAACTATGGGTACTGGGTTTGAGCCTCGGTGGGAACATCATCACTCACTGAGGAATGCAGGTACATCCAGTGACGAGTCCCAAATAGGACGAAACGCGCATCCTGGATTCCACTGCTAGTCACTATCCACCAAGTAACTTCTGTTATCTTAATTTAGATTAATTTTCTTGAAGAAGTTCGGACAAGTTTGCCGAAAGAAACGTTGGAACTAATCATTTTAATTTCACTGAGATTTTGCAAACATAGTTTTTAAAAATGTTTATGTTACCCTAGTTTTTTAGTTACTCTAGTCTAGTTACTCTAATTCGGTCAGATCGTATATGAATAATCTAAGTTTTTGAAAATGCGTTTCCATAACAGTTTTGTTTTATAGGATATTAAAGTGAAGTGAGATTTCTTCTAATTAGCTTTAGGATATTCATATAAATGAAGTTTTCTTTGTATATTCTTCTTGTCATGAGCTTACTTTTTGTGAAAGTTTTACCACTAGACTTAGTGACTCGATAAGCAGTTACTTCATGAATACATTTTTGTATAGGTAAATGTTTACTAGTGTCGGTGGTTTGGAGTTAGACCGCTCACCATCTACTGACATGGTTAAAGGTTCGTTTTCTGGCCTATGCCCTCCTGAACCTCACACAGTCTACTCGGAGGTAATAAGCCAGAAACAGAGTGAAGGTTGAGCGTGAGGCTAGGAGCTTCACCCCGTAAAAGAACAACGTTACTGGTAGTAAAAATTCAAAGATTGAAGCCACATTTTGTGCATGTAAAGGAAGAAGTGAAAAATAAGACAACTTTATTTCAGTTAAATTAATCACACAAGTAGTGATTGTCTCCTTCACTCAATAAACGTGATTTATTTTGGACAATTTTTTACTCATCCTTTTTTTATTCCGGATGAAACATAGGGCTGTAAGCTTTTAATTTTCAACAGTAGTGGTGTTGTGTTTTACGGAATTGGATTGCTAGCCTCACACCCAACCTTCCCTCTTTCCAAGCGACTTACTATTGGCTAGCAAACTAGGTATGGGAGTGCATCATCCGTGAATCGAACTCGGACTACATGCGCCACTGGTGAGCTTGCCATCTCTGATTAATATTACAGTGAAAAGACATTCATTCGGTGACTTTCCTCTCGTGTAATCAGAATTTATTAATTATTAAGAATACTTAGATGATTAACATAACGCGTATTGACAGGTAAATACAAGCTCTGTCTATACGCTATGCAATCTTTCTGATTTCTAGTCATTTTGTATCACGTGAAAAGTAATTTCATTGGCTATTCAATGGTCTGGTTGTTTGTATGTTTATTATTATGCAGTTTTCTGTTATTTTGGTAATATGAACTTTGAAATGATTGGCATTTCAGGAGATGAACTCAACGATCTTATTTATCTTTAGTATTTCCTGATTGTCATGTAACTCTATCCATGTCTCAGTAGAGTTTTCTACATCAGTTTATACCCATTCAAACATCACTGGAGATGAAGTAGAAACGAGCAGTGTAGGATTTGCAAAAAGAGACTCTGCCAATAAAAAAGGCTATTATAACTCCCAGTGTTGTTTTTGATTATGTTTACGGAAAACATGAATTTTTACACGTGAATTACGCCTTTTCAGTGATGTTGTTTGTTGAACAGTAGTGGAAAAGTATACCTAAAACTTGGGCGTTATTATTGTTTATTATGCCTTCTTCTTATGACTCTTATTGACTTCAAGAGACTTAAGACACTAGATAGACGTTGTTACATTCGAATACTTCACTCAGAATTAGGTATCTTAATGTGGAATTCGAAATTTATCATAGAAATAGTAATATACGTTGATATTATTGAGAATGTACAAAACAGTGGTTAATTAACATGATCCTGACTTTCAGTGGAGATGAATACAGATTAGCAAATTAGTTGATTGGTTGAAAAGGAAGATAAAAGCTTTTACTGACAACAAACTATTTGGTTGAGTGTACACATTTCATATTACGTGATTTATTGACGTCTGTTTGACTACTGACAAAAACTGAACAAAGATGATTCGCAGGAGTCCTTATACTGATATTCTGTGTGGAATTCAAGCCCAAATCATCCAGTGCACAAAGTACGAAACATAAACTCGAGAGAAGAGAAACACGAGGTTGAAAAGTCTATGTTTTACAAAGAATTCATTTTCTACAGTGGTACATTCATGACCGATGTGCAAGTTAGCGTAGTTTCAGTTTGCAAGTGTGTAGTTATTATTATTTTTAGTACTGCCTTGGTTTCCGAGGAAGACATAGGGTTTTAATATCACACCTCCATTTCATCCTGTTGTCTGAAGTCCTTTTTATCTGGCTCAATGATTGCCCATGAGTTCTCATCTCCTCCTCACCCAATTTCCTCCATGTCACTTTCAGACTCACACCCAACTCTTTGCCTGGCTCACAATGTCACTCATTGGTCTTATCAGCCTATGTCCAATATATCTCCATTGCCTTCCACATATTTGCTGAACAATACGTTATTGGTTGATGTGTCGCCAGATTTCTTTGTTGTTGTTGACAGGAGTCAGAAGGACACTGTCTTTGGTGGATTTCTAATTGCCTCTGAATGATACGTCAGCTGGGATATTGAGACAGGTGCTGACGTAGTTTACATTTACAACGCTTTTGTTTGGACCAGTGCCCCTTGCCTGAAGCCATTTTGAGTACTACTCTTTAACACGTCTTGAAAGGATATGCATAGGACAAAACGTGCTCTGTCACTGTAATATTCTATCTTAAATGATATTGACTTAGACTGCGGATTGCTTCTATGGTTGTTCATCATTGTCTTAATTGTTAATTAGTCAGTACCATTTGCATCTGTATAGGCGACCTACCAGAATTAATCACTCCAAAAGGAAACTATGTAATGTCATCTAAAAATATGAATCTCTAGTCTGTATACATTATTTGAGGAACGAATCATTAGCTTAGTTTGGTATAAAAGATTTATACGAATTTAAGGTTTCGTTCTCTTTCAGGGTAGTTTGGTGATTTATATATCTGATGACATGTTAAAAATATTTTGTATTTGTAATGTGACCAGTAGGGTACAGCAGGTTGAAGATGAAGCAGTAAGTCATCGAAGAAGACATTGCGAAATGGTCGCGCTATGTCATGAACTGAAAGAAGTTAGAATTCATGGAATGCCCATTGGATCGGGTCCCAGTGGTTCAAATGTAACAGGAAGGTCCTGGGTTCAAACCCTAGTGGGTGCGTACTGCTGAAGATTCCCATACTAAGACAGAACAGCTGTCCCAGGTTTTCCAATGGTTCTCTAACCGACGTCAGCTCATGATGAAATCCTCCATCCAATCAAACAAAATCCCTACAAAACCAATACTTGAAAATACTAATTTTGTTGAATCGAAATTTTAAGTTTTTCTTGACATGTCAACTCGCAGTATAGAAGCTTCGATGATGACTTGAGATTAACATAATGGCATTTGTTTGACAGTGGCTAGCAGTGGAATTCAGGACACGGGTTCTTTCCTATTTGGGCTGGATGTGTTCTTATTGACGAGTGTTCAGTAGGCTGAGACGCTCATCCTGGATTTTACTGTCAAACATATAGTACCATATAAGGTTATGGACTCAGTGGTCAGAGTTATCCAATAATAAATAAATAAAGCATTTCACTTACACCACTAATTGTTTGATCAAGTTACCTGAATGAACTTCATTTAAAGTCTTACTGTGTTCTGACATCTCTA